TGTTCAAATTTCTATTTCTTCTTGATACAGACTGGATAGTAGTTTCTAATTATCTTTGGATTCCTGTTGTATCAGTTGTAATGTCTCCTCTTTCATTTCTGACTTTGAGTCTTCTTTTTTCTTAGTCTAGCTAAAGTTTGTCAAGTTTATCTTTTCAGAAACCCAGCTATTAGTGTCGTTGATCTTGTCTATTGTTTTTCTGGTCTCTATTTCATTTACTTCAGCTCTGATCTTGGAGAATTTATTTCCTTATGCTAACTTTGGGTTTAGTTCTTATTTTTCTAGTTCCTTGAAGTGTTAAGTTAGATTGTCTATTTGAGGCCTTTTATTTTCTTCACATATGCACTTATTACTCTAACCTTCCCTCTTAGAACTGCTTTACAGCATCCCATATCCATTTTCATTTGTTTCCAGATATTTTTTAAATTTTCTTTTGATTTCTTCTTTGCCCCATTAGTTGTTCAGGGATGTGATGTTTGGTTTACAGCTTACAGATTTTCCAGCTTTACTCTTCTTGTTGATTTCCAGCCTCATACCATTTCAGTGAAAAAAGATACTTGGTATGATTTCAGTCTTCTTAAATTTGCTAAGATTTGTTTTGTGGCCTGCCATATGATCTATCCTGGAGAATGTTGTGTGTGCATTTGAGAGAACATGATTTCTGTTGCTTTAGATAGAATGTTCTGTGAGTGTCTGTTAGGTCCATTTGGTCTAATGTATGTTTCAAGTGCAAGGTCTCCTTGTTGATTTTTCTGTCTGGATGATCTATCCATTGCTGATTGTGGGTCATTAAAGTCCCCTAATAGTATTATATTGTTACTTTTCCCTTAAGGTCCGTTAGAATTTGCTTAATATATGTAGGTGTCTCAACTTTGTATGTTTATCATTGTTAATCATTATATAATAACCTCTTTTATCTCATTACTGTTTTTGGCTTAAAATCTATTTTGTCTGATGTAACTCTCCCTGCTTTCTTTTGGTTTCTATTTGCATGAAATATCTTTTTCCATCCCTTCAATTTGAGCCTACATGTGTCATTAAAACTAAAGTAAGTCTCTTATAGCCAGCATATAGTTGGGTTTTTTTTAAAAAAAACCATTCAGCCACTGAGTTTTGAGAATTTAGCCCATTTATATTTAATGTGATTATTGGTAACAAATTGGCAATAGTAAGCCCTTACCTAATTGTTTTCTGGTTGTTTTGTATTTCCATTCTTCACCCTCTGTTTCTGCTTGTTTTTGTAATTTGATTTTCTGTGGTGATATGCTCTGTTTTCCCTTTAATCTTTTGTGCCTCTACTTCAGAAATTGGCTTTGTGGTTACCATGAGGCTTACATGAGGCATCTCATAGATAAAATCCATTTTAAGCTGATAGCAACTTCACTTACAAAATTCTCACTCTTTACCCCCATTTTATATTTTTGATGTCACTATTTTTCTTTTGTGTAGTATATTTAATAAATTGTAATAGCTATAATAATACTCTTTCACCTTGTTCTTTATATTATAGCTAACAGGTTAATACACCATTGTAACCTGACTCATATGTTCTCGTGTCATGATTAGCATCCTTTCACTTCAGCTGGAAGAACTCTTTTCTGAATTTCTTGTAAGGAGGGTCTAGTGTGATAAACTCCCTCAGCTTTTGTCTGGAAAAGTCTCTATTTCTCCTTCATTTCTGAAGGATAACTTTACCAGATAAAGTGTTCTTGGCTGGCAATTTTTTTCTTTATGTCATCCCACGCTCTCCTGGCCTGTAGGGTTTCTGCTGAGAAATCCACTGATCACCCAGTGAAGGTTTCTTTGGAGTTTAAAATCTTTTCTTCTCTGGGTACTTTTAGGATTCTCTTTGATTTTTGACAATTTGTTATAATTACTGTGTTTTTGGGAAAGCCTTTTGGCATTGAGATAATAGGGTGGTTATTCTGCTTCCCGAATTTGGGTGTCCAAGTGTTTCCCCAGGTTTGGGAAGTTTCAGCCATTATTTCTTAGATAAACTCCCTGCTCTTTCTTTTCTCTTTCTGGAACTGCAATTTTTCTGATATTTTATTTTTGATGAAGTCCCTAGATTGTCTAGGCTTTCGTAATGCTTTTTCATTCTTTGTTATCCTCTGGGTTATTTCAAAGTTCCTATCCTGTAGCTCACTGATTCTGTCTTCCATTTTATCCACTCTGCTGTGGGTGCCCTCTATTGCATTTTTCATCTCATTTGTTGAATTCTTTAGGCCAAGAATTTGTGTGTGTGTGTGTGATTTCTCTTTGTTAAATTTTTCATTTTGTTCATGTACTGTTTTTCTGATTTTTGTTTCTGAAAAAAACCCTTTGTGTATTTTATATATTTTGTTAGTCAGCATACAGTACATCATTAGTTTTTGATGTAGTGTTCCATGACCCATTGTCTGCAAATAACATCCAGTGCCCCATGAAATATGTACCCTCCTTACTAACCATCACTGGGCTAACCCCTCCCCCCTAAAACCCTCAGTTTCTCAGAGTCCATAGTCTCTCATGGTTGTCTCCCCCACCCCGATTTCCCCCCCTTCATTTTTCCCTTCCTTCTCCTAATGTCCTCCATGCTATTCCTTATGTTCCACAAATAAGTGAAACCATATGATAATTGACTTTCTCTGCTTGACCTATTTCACTTAGCATAATCTCCTCCAGTCCCATCCATGTTGGTGCAAAAGTTGGGTATTCATCCTTTCTGATGGCTGAGTAATATTCCATTGTATATATGGACTACGTTGTCTTTATCCATTTGTCTGTTGAAAGGCATCTCAGCTCTTTCCACAGTTTGGCTATTGTGGACATTGCTGCTATGAACATTGGGGTGCATATGGCCCTTCTTTTCACTACATCTGTGTCTTTGGGGTAAATACCCAGTAGTGCAATTGCTGGATCATAGGGTAGCTCTATTTTTAACTTTTTGAAGAACCTCCACACTGTTTTCCAAAGTGGCTGTACCAACTTGCATTCCCACCAACAGTGTAAGAGGGTTCCCCTTTCTCCACAACCTCTCCAACATTTGTTGTTTCTTGCCTTGTCAATTTTTTGCCATTCTAACTGGTGTAAGGTGGTATCTCAATGTGGTTTTGATTTGAATTTCCCTGATGGCTAATGATGATGAACATTTTTTCATGGGTCTGTTAGCCATTTGTATGTCTTCTTCAGAGAAGTGTCCATGTCTTCTGCCCATTTTTTGACTTTTTTGGGTGTTGAGTTTGAGAAGTTCTTTATAGATGTTGCATATCAGCCCTTTGTAGTGTTATTTGCAAATATCTTCTCCCAATCTGTGGATTGCCTGTTTTGTTGACGGTTTCCTTTGCTGAAGCTTTTTATCTTGATGAAGTCCCAAAAGTTCATTTTCCCTTTTGTTTCACTTGCCTTTGGAGATGTATCGTGAAAGAAGTTGCTGTGGCTGATGTCTAAGTAGTTACTGCCTATGTTCTCCTCTAGGATTTTGATGGATTCCTGTCTCACATTGAGGTCTTTCATCCATTTTGAGTTTATCTTTGTGAATGGTGTTAGAGAATGGTCAAGTTTCATTCTTTGGTATATAGCTGCCCAATTTTCCTAGCACCATTTATTGAAGAGACAGTCTTTTTTCCATTGCATATTTTTTCCTGCTTTGTCGAAGATTTGACCACAGAGTTGAGGGTCCATATCTGGGCTCTCTATTCTGTACCATTGTTCCATATGTCTGTTTTTGTGCCAGTACCTATCAGCTAGATCACAAACTTCATTCAGCCTTTATGTTTGGATATTGGAGGATTATTGTTACCTTTTGGTGGTGACATATTCCTTGATTCTTCACATTCCTTGTAGTTTTGTGTTGCTGCTCTGGGATATGGAGTGGTGGACACCACCTCAGTCTTTGCAAGTTGCCTTCAGGTGGGAGGTACTGTTAGATTTGGACTTTGTCTCTGTGTGGATGCACCTGCTCCATGCTTCTGCCCCCTCTTGAGGGAGAATTCTTGAGCTTGAATGTCTTCTCTGGTCTGTAGAACTTACCTCTCTTGGTTCCCAGAAGAGGGCACTACAGATACCTGGATGGTGTCTCCTCTGCACCCAGGGAGCCAGCCACAGCACTGGGGAGGTGTGGGTTCAGTACTCTGGGTGCTGGGGATCCTCAGGTGAGGTTCTTCCAGAAGCTAATGGGTGAACTTCTAGTTGACATCCTGTCATCAGGATGGTGTCCCTTCAATGCCCTTTGATCTTCTCTTCCCTGGAGTCATGGACATCCTGCCTCAGTACTCTGGGTGCTGCCAGAGAGAAATGGGTTTCTCAACTGCAGCATCCCACATAGCTGGGGAAGCCGTGTACTCCAGGTTCTCCCTCCCACCATGGGAGAGGTTGTTACCTGCCTGTTGAGCCCCCTGTGTCACCTTTGGGGAGGGGTGGTACTGGCAAAGTTCCTCTTACCATTTCCAGTGCATCCAGACTCCAAGGACATGCTGAAACCTCCCCTTGGGGCAGGCTGGACTCCCACAAGGCCTCCCTTGCCTGTGGGTGTCTGTCCAAGTTAGCCCTTTCCTTGATGGCAGTGAGAGGGCTTGGGCAGGCTCCCTGGCTCCAGCTGGGTTTGCAACCCCTATGGAAATCTGTGTGCCTACTACCGGATGCAGTTGGGTGACACTCCTCCCACATCCTCTGGCATATGGATCTGTATCCCAGAGGCACTTTGGTTCGTGGATGGATGCCTGATTAGTTGTTTAAAAAGGGAGACAAAAAACAGGGCTGTCTTACACTGCCACGATATTCTAAATGCTTCTCTAATGCTCTAGTTACGTCTATACTGGCCTGGGATGGTCCCCTAATTTCCCCTGGTGTCTGCCCAGGTATTACACTGACATGTCTATCTCCCTGTTGATACCTAGTTCCCTGTCTAACCAGACTTGGATGTTTCTCTAGTTCCCCACGTAGGTCTATGATGACCTGGGATGTCCCCCTCAAACCCCAGTGTGTCTACACTCACCTGGCGTATCTTTCTCTTTCATCAGTAATGTCCACCCTGACGTCTCCCTTGTCACTCTGGATTGTCTAACAGGACCAGGATGTCTAATCCCATGCGGAGTCTGTGACCTGGAAGGACACTCTGACTTGGGATGTCCCTGTCTGTTGTGCATTTGGGTGTCTCCCTGCTGCAGGTGTGTCTTCTCTAACAGGTGATGCTGTTTCCCCAGGGGAAGCTACCATGATCTAGGATGTCACCTTGATTCCTCAAGTATTTCTATGTGGACCCAGGAAATCTCCCTAATTCCCCAGTTCTGTCAACCCTGATCAGGGATGCCTCCCTACTTACCCAGGTGTGTGTGCACTTGCCTGGAATGTCTGATTACCCTGGAGTGTCCTAACCTGAGCTGTCGTTCCCATTAAGGTGTACAATTAATGGGGATGTCTCCATATTTCCTGAGGTGACTTTTCTATAACCCAGGATGATGTTGGCCCTGACCTAGAATTCCCTCTAAACCCCAGTGTTACTCCTCTTACCAGGGAGGTGAACCTTGCTCCCCTGGTGTGTCTTCCTGTGCAGGTTAGATACAGCTGGGGAATTTGAGACATAACTGAAACTCCTTAGAAGTGACCTCCTCTATTATAGAATGTCTATGACTACAATAAGTATTTGCGCAGTATTTAGCCAGTTCTGCAGGCACTTGCCTCGCCTTAGCAATACTGTTCTTATTCAGAGAATAAATAGTCTAATACATGTTTTGCTTAAATAACACAAAAAATTGAAACCCAATTACACATTATGAAAAATGCGGATTGGCTTGTAAAAGTAAAAACCCAATCTGATTTAACCAGCTAAAACGATCAAATGGGTATGTTGGCTTTGGGGTATTTTCCAAACACTTGGTATTATTCTCCTAATCATATTAATGATATCCCTGTGGGTTGTATTTTTTTTTTAAGAGTCTTCAGTGCTTTTCAGCAGCCACTGACTAATTAAACCACCTCTATTCCATATGAACTGAACAACAAAATTACCTGAGCAAGAATTATCAGATTCCCATTCACGACCTTCAGATGTCCACAGAAGAAGGATCATGTGACAACTAAGAGCAATGCTCAATAGTCGGCCACTCTCAGTTCAACTGAGACTACGATCAAAAGGTAAGGGAGGGGGGGTTAAAAATGAAAAGGAGATCACAATTTGGATATGTGGTGACTCCTACTTACCCAACCAGATCTTAAAACTGTCCTGATTCCAAAAATGTGAACTCCAAGTTGAAACAAAACTAGCTTAGATTCTGTAAAATCATGCTCACATGAGGAAAGCTGATGTAATGAAAAGAATGTGAGCTGCTAATTACCAATCCCAATGGAAAACGATGTACTTACTAAACTGAGCTGTAATAGCCAGGAGCAGAGTTTCTTAGCCACTTTCAGTTTGAATGTTTCCCAGTTCCCAAAATGCTTATTTCCTCGCTCAATAAAATATTCATCTCAATAAAACTCACTGAATTTTCTTTTGATAGACACACCTACAGAATTAGACACTGCAAACCTGTGGAATTAGAGTAGATACACGTGGGGATTAGGGAGACATCCCACATCAGTGTAGAAATGCTTTGGGAACTAGAGAGATATGCCAGTCCAGTGTAGACAAACCCAAGGAATGAAGGGGATATCCTGAGTCAGTGTAGACACACCTGGGGACTTAGACCTATGAGGTCAGAATAGAAACATATGGGAAAATGAGACATGCCAGGAAAGGGTAGACATAGTTTGTGCATTAAGGAGACCATTCATCTTGGAATAGTTACACTTGGGGAGTTAAGGATGACATCCCTCATCATAGAAGACATACCTGGGGAATTAGAATTCAAAGATCATGATAGAAACAGTAGGGCTTAGGGAGACATTCCTGGACAGAGGAGAATAACCTGGGGAAATACAGTTCCTAGGTCAGAATAGACACAATCTGGAAATGAGGGAGACCTATAATGTCCAAGATGATGCACCTGGAGAGTAGTGAGACTTCTGAGGCAGTGTAGACACACCTGAGGAATTAGGTACACACCCAAGTTTGGGTCAACATACCTGTGGAACTGGGGAGCCATCCTAGGTCAGTTAGGACACACTTGGAGAATCAGGGAGATATTCCAAGTCAGGGTAGAGATACCTTGGGGGAATTAGAGAGACATCCAAGTTCAGAACAGATGTACCTGGGATGTTATGGAAACATTCATGCATGTCTGATTGCACAGCTGGGGATCTAGGGTGACTTACCTGGTCAGAATAGTTACCACTGGGTGACTAGAGACACCCCACAGGTCAGGACAAACATGTATAAGTAGTGACACATCGCAGATGGGAGCACACACCTGCCTGGAATTAGACATTTCAGATTAGTGAAGGAAACCACAAAGACTTAGGATATCCAACAACTTGGATAAAATAGACGGACATTTGCAGAGACACCCCACATTGATGGGGACACACCTGGAAGAATGGAGATAACACAGGCCACATAACACACCAGATGAATCGGGGAGACATTCCAAATCAGGCTAAACACAACTGTGTTGTGGGATTAGTAAGACAACCCAGGTCAGCACAGACAAACCTGGGTTATTAGGAAGGTAGGTCAGGTCAGATCTGATACACTAAGGAAATCAATGAGATCGCTCAGGTCATCGTAGACCCAACTACAGGATTAGAGATACCTCCCAGGTCATAGTAGATACAACTGGGGATTAGTGAACTATTCCATGACCGTGTAGACACACAAGGGTAATTAGGAGATTACAAAGGGTCACTATAAACCCAAATGAGAACTAGGGACAAATAATAGCTGAGAATTAGGGAGACAGTCAAGTTTACTGACACACAGGTGAGAATTAGTTCATGTCTGTGTAGATATACCTTGGAAATTAGGAAGACTTCCCAGGTCAGTGTAAACACTTTAGGCAATTATGGAGAGAACCTAGGTCACAGAAGTCCTACCTGAGGACATACCAGACTGGTATGGACACATCTATAGACATCTGGGGGAATTAGAGGGAACTCCCATGTCAGAGAAGGCACACTTGGGTATTGGGGTGACAGGTCAATATGGACACATGTATAGATCCAGGGAGTCATCCCCAGTCAACCCAGTAGACACTCCTGGGCAATTTAGGGAAACATCAGGATACGCACCAGGTAATTAGGGAGATACGAGCATGGACATAACTGGAAATTCTGGAGACATGAGTCGTGAATGTTGAGGCACTGGGAAGCCAGCAAAACATCCCAGTTCAGAGTAGACACCCCAGGGAATTAGACTATTATCCCAATCAGTGCAAACACACTTGGGAATCAGAGATATTCCAGAGTAAATACACCTAGGAGACATCACTGGTTAATGTATACACACTTGGAATGATGAACACAAGACTGGTCAAGGTGGACCCACCTATGAACTAGGGAGACATCCCGGTCAGAGTAGAAACCCGTGGGGAGGGAGGTAGAACTCTCAGGTCAGTACAGACATACTGGGGGAAATAGACATCCTTGGTCAGTGTAGAAACAACTGGGCATACAGAGGATCTCTCATTTCAGAGAAGACACACCTAGAAATTAGGGTGAAATCCCAGGTCAATGTATACAACCTGGGGACCTAGGGCAACATTGAAATTCAGAGGAGTCACTCCCGGCAAACTAGGAAGATACCTATGTTTAGTGTATGCACACATAAGGAATTAGGAGATGTCCAAAATTAAGGTAATCAAATCTGGGGGATTAAGGAAATATTCCAGGTCAGCATAGACACTCCTGTGAAGTTAGGGAGATATCCCAAACCAAGGGGAGACAAATGTGGAGAAGGGAGAAAACCCAAGTCAGATTAAACATACCTGGGGAACTAGTGAGAAATCCAGGTTAATGAAGACATTTCTGAGTTATTGAGATAACCCAGGTCAGGGAAGACACACCTGGGGAAATATGGAGACATTCCAGGTCACCATAGACACATGAGGGGGATTATAGAGTTACCCAGTTTCAGAGTAAACAAGCCTATGAAATTAAGGAGATATCCATAGTCAAGCCAGACGCTCTGGGAACTAGAGAGAGATGCCAATTTAGGGCAGACACACCTGGAGACCTAGGGAGACACCCCTAATTAGGTAGAAACAAATGGGAAATTAGTGAGATGTCCTAGGCATGGTAGACCCACCAGGGAAAACAGAATTCCAAGAGCAGGGTAGAAATACCTAGGGAATTAGGGAGACACCCCAAGTCAGGACAGCACACATGGGAAATTATAGAAATATCCCAGTTCAGGATAGGCACATCAGGAGACAGAGAAACAATCAGATCAATGTAGACACCCCTGGGGAATTTGGAAATTCTCTCTGGGCTGAGAACCTCCCTAGACACACCTTTTAAAACTGAGAGGCCAACCTATATCAGTGTAGACACATTTGATGAATTAAGGAGACATTGCTAGTCAGGCTATATGCACCAAGGGGAACTAAAAAACATTCCAGGTCAGGGGCATCTGGGTGGCTCAGTCGTTAAGCGTCTGCCTTCAGCTCAGGTCATGATCCCAGGGTCCTGGGATCGAGCCCCGCATCGGGCTCCCTGCTCAGCTTGTGTTCCCTCCCCTGCTTGTGTTCCCTCTCTCGCTGTCTCTGTCAAATAAATAAAATCTTAAAATAAAAAACATTCCAGGTCAGAGTGAACCCCTGGGGAATTAATGAAGTGTCCCAGAGCTGTTTTGGCATGCCTGTTAGATTAAAGGGACCTTCCAGGTCAGTGTAGACACAAGTGGGTTACAGGGCAGACATGCCAGACAGATCATGGTTGACACTTAAGCTATCAAGGAAGCATGGCAGGTCAGTGTAGACACAAGTGCTGATAAAGGGAGATATCCCAGGATGGTGTAGACACACCTCAGAATTAGGGAGACATCTCAGGTCAGGAGATCAATACCTGGTGACTTAGGCAGACATCCAAACTCCGGGTAGACACACCTAGAGGATTAGACCCATCGAGTCAGAGTAGACCCAGTTGGGGATTTAGGGAGACACCCCAGGTCCTGCAGACTCACCTGTGGAACTAGGGAGCTATCCCAGATCAGGTAGAAACCCCTGGGGAATGAGGGAGCCGTCCATGTAAGACCCATCTGGGGAATTAGGTAGACATCTCAGGTGATACTAGACACATCACACTCAGATTCCCCAGCACAGACACACCCAGAGCATTAGGGAGCCCTCCCTGGTCACGACAGACACACACAGGCTTTAAGGAAACCTACAAGGTAAAGGTAGACACAACTGGGTAGATTTGAAAACCTCTCCAGTGAGCATAGCCACACCCAGGTTTTAGGAGACAACCCAGTAACGGTAAAGAAAACCCGGGGAAATACGGACACATCCTTTGTCAGGGAAGATACCTGAGGAATAAGGGAGAGATGCCAGGTCACTGTAGACATACCTGGGTTATTAGGAGATACACCCTCTCAGTGTAGACACATCTGGAGAAATTGGGCACTATCCCAGTTCACAGTAGAAACATCAGAGTTATGAGACATTCCAGATCCTAACACACACCTTGTAAATGTGGGTGACATCCCAGGACAGGGTAGATAAGGCTGGGGAATTTGTGAGACTTCCCTGGTCAGCATAGGCACATGAGGAATATTTGGTAGACACAGCCAGTCAATGTGGACACACCTGGAGAATTAGGAGACACCCGGATTGAAAAGACACACCTGGGCAATGAGCAATATAGCTCACGTCTGTGTAGACATAATTGGTAAATTAGAGAGAGCCCCCAGGCCAGTGTTGACACATCTGGGTAATTAGGGAGATATCCCAGGTAAGAGTAGACAAACCTGTGGAATTACGAAGACAGCCCAGGTCGTAGAACACACACCTGGGAAATTAGAGAGCATCCCAAGGGTAGAAACACAGGATAAATTATGAAGATATCCAATGTCAGGGTGGATACTTTAGGAATTCCAGGGACATAGCAAGTCCGAACAGATAACAGGACTGTAGGGGCACCATCCCAGCCCAGGGTGGACACCACTGGGGAACTGGGGACACATCCCAGCTCATAGGGACTAGGGAGAGGTCTCATGTCAGTGCAAGCACACCTAAGGTACTGGGGAAACCTTCAGGTCTATATTGGGAAGGCAACCCAAGTCAGAGAACCAGACACATGTCGCTGGTGACTGCAGACGCTCCTGCTCAACGACAGTGGGTTTTCATGTCACAGTGCACCTGCTGGGAATGAGGAAGACATTCTAAGTCAATGAACACAAACATGAGGAATTAGGCAGACATCTCAGGTCAGGGGTAGACACTTAGAAATGAGTCGTCCCAGGGCAGTTTAGCCAACCTAAGTTACAAGAGCACAATTGCAGAATGGGGTGGACAAACCTGGGGATTGATGGAGACACCCCAAGTCTGTGAAGACCTGGGAATGAGGGTGATGACCCAGGTCAGAGCATACACCTGGGGAATCAGGGAGCTACCCCTGGTCACTTGAAATATCAGGGAAGTAGACACAGCTGCGGAATAGAAGGAATGTCCAGGGTCAGGGCAGAAATACCTGCTTAGAATGGTGTCCTCCCAGTTCAGACCATACCCAGGAGACAGCAGGTGCACGTCTCTGTGCTGAGCAGACACAGCAAGGCAGTTAGAGAAAAAGCCCCGTCAAAGTAAACACACGTAGCAAATAGCTGGACACAGCGAATGAACTGGAGGTAAATATTTGGAGAAAATACAGCAAGTTCATATCCTTACTATATTAAGAGTGCGTTCAAATCAGTGGCAAGTTCCTCAGTAAACAGGGCATACACAAGGTTATAAAAGACACACAGAAATAGCTGGTAAAGAACCGAACATCGCCAGGTCTCAGACACGCGAATGAGAAGACAATATACGTTTGTCAGCTGCTTGAGGAAAGAGTAAAACTGTAATAATCGAGCTGACAGGGTCCAGGGAACGGGTCTCGTCAGGGACTCTCAGGGCTGGGGAACTGTCGGCTGCACACTCTGGGCTGGCTTGGTGACGTGTGTCAAAGCCTTCGACCCCGAACAGGCTCCTGCAAGGACAGGCTCCCAGGACGGGCGCCCAGGGGTCGGCGGCGACAGCATGCGAGGCTCCAGTAAGACAACAGGACTTGACTCCGGGAGGCGTCCGCACAGCGCGAACTGCAATAAAACATCGTGCGGACCCACAGTCACTCGGACGACGCGGAATTAAAAGGAGAACTTTGTGTGTATCGTGGCCCACTTTTGTTTCAAAGCCTACGCGTGGCATCGGCCTGCGGAAAACTGCCCGGGCCGAGAGAGAACCAGCAGCCGGCCGCGGGTGGGGTCCGGAGGCCGGGCCTCCTGCTTCCTTCGATGCTCCCTCGCTGGTTTGCTTCCTCTCACGAGGGGAGCCACGCGTGGGTTCCAGGTCGGGGAGGGAGAGCTCCCCCCGCCTCGGACCGCAGGCCTGACCCCTGGCCGGGCGCGAGGGTCCGGGGCCACCCGGGACGAGAAGAGCCCGGGAGGGGCCCCCAGCCTGCCGTGCACCTGCCAGGGGCTCCCAGGGCCCCGCAGAGCCGGGAGCTGCCCGGGGCTTTGGCCGCTGGGGCCACGGCCCAAGGCCAGGTTCGCAGCCCAGCTGGACGCTGCGGGTCCGTGGAACGGGCGGCCGAGCACGAGCCCCTTCTGTCCTCCAGAGCAGCCTCCTTTCTCCTCGGGGACCAGCTGGTGGCCTGGGCCCCTCGTGCATGGTCCCCAGGACTCCCCTCCCAGGAATTCCTGGGCCAGACGCCCCCCACGCCCCATCTGCACCCTGCCTGCCTCAGCAGACCGCGGCCCGCCTGCGGGAAAGGCCGGGCACAAGGGCCACACCGTGGCCACAATGGCGTGAGAGGTGGGCACCGTCTGACCTTGTGCTCTGGTCCCGAACGCTAGGTCAGGGGCAAAGTCAGACGCGGACGCACAGATGGTTCCTTTAATCAAGGGGGAGGTGGATCCTTCGTCAGACGAGGGAGGGCTCGTGACGCTTTCCTTCTCTTTGTTTAATCCACAGCTCCGTCATCCCGGTCCTGCAGGAAACACACCAGAGGTTCAAAGGAGACGCCGCGTGAAAGAAGGGGCTCCTTAGGGAGGGTCCACACAGGAGGCAGGAGACCCAGAGAGGAGCCACGGGGAGCTGTTTCCACCCCTGGCCTGCAGAGCAGGGAGGGGATGGTGCTGCTGGGTCCTGGGGGGGGGGGTCACAGTCCCCAGCAGGGAGGACCCCAGCCTCTCTCCCCGCACCCCGTCTCCTGGGAGCTGCCCCTGGTGCAGCCTGAACACAAGGCCTGAGGCCAGGAACCCGGACGACAGGGCCCCCAGGTCATGGCGCGGGGATGGAATAGGGTGGACGCGGTGCAGCGTGGATCTGGAGGGCGGCAGAGGGCGTCCTGTAGGCGGCCCGAGCTCTCACCCGAGAATGCGGATACCTGGATGCTCCTCACAGTCGGGGTCTTGGCGATGCTGGACCCCGTCCACCTGGCGATGATCAGCGACCCCTCCGAGGGGGCGCACGCGCTCCGGTCCCCACAGCCCCGCCTGGACGCCTCCTCCGTGTCTCCTGACGGCCCTCTGCCCTCTGACTCTGGTCCAGACCCCGCACGGTGGCAGCACGTTGAAGAGCCACGCGGCACAGACAGACTCTCCTCACACTGCCCTGGTTCCACTGAGACCAGCAATAAAGAGTGAAAGCAAACATAAATCTGCCCGCAGAAAACTAATAAGAAAAGGGGTTTAGTGCCTTTGGCAAAAGGAGCCCAGAAATGCAATAATTTTTTTCCCTTAACATCACATCCACAGGCTTTTGTGAAGTATTTGTTCAGCTCCCAAAATGAGCAATTATGAGAGATTGCTGTTTGAGTGAAAAGCCTCTGGTCTGCAGAGGAATTTAATTTTGGAAAGTCCAGATCTGCAGACCCGGGCCGTGGCTGCTTTCCAGGGGCGGGAGGCTGGCCCCCAGGCAGAGCCGGGGTCAGGGGAGGGACCCTGCTGCAGAGCTGACCCTGCCGGCAGGCTCACCCCCCGCCCCAGGCGCATGTGGCCGTGATGTCCCCCAAGGCCGTGGTGTCCCCCGACGCTGGGGAGGCCCCATGGGGTCGCTTCCACCTCGCAGCTGCCCTCACACGGAGTACAAGCCCCTCCTGAACCCCCTGCTCTCAGGGCCTTCGGGCAAACCCCCGGAGTGGGCCCGCCGGGTCACACGTGTTTCCCAGTTTGTCTTCCCGCGACTTCCCTGCTGTTCCCGTGGTGGACGCGCCGTCTCACACGCCCCCCCCGGCAATGCGCCCACGGCTTCCAGCTCCCACGGCCTCACCACGCAGCCCCTGGGTCCTGACCACAGCGCTGCTCATGGCTGTGGAGCCCGGTGACCGTCCCGTGCGTTCCCCTGGGCAGGAGGGACGTCGAATAGCTTGTCGTGTGCTAACCGGCCAATTGTGGGTCTTCTCTGAAGACAGAGCTCTTCCGGTTCTCTGCCCATTTCTTAACTGGATCGTTCTGTTGCTGCGCTGTGGGTGTTTGTAGATGTTCTGGGCATTAATCCCTTATCGGGTATATGAAGATCTTTCCTCCCATTCTGTGGGCTGTCTTTTAACTCCCTTGATGGAGTCCTCTGATGCCCCCAAAGTTTTCATTTCCTGGAAGTCCAAATTATCTGTTTTCTAGTTGCCTGTGTTTTGGGTGGTATACCCAATAAATCACTGACAAATGCAATGTCACGAATCTTTGCTCCTGTGTGTCCGTCCAAGAATTTTACAGTCTTAGCTCTTACGTTTAGGTATTTGACCCAGTTTCCGTTGATTTGGGTATGAAGCGTCACGTAAGGGTCCAACTTCTTTCTTTTGTGGATATCCACTTTTCCCAACAGCGTTCGTTAAAAGAAAAACCTTTTCGCCACTGAACGGTCTTAGCACCCTTGTTGGAAATCATGTGACCAAGTCTATGAGGGCTTATTTCTGGGTTTTCTCTTCCCTTCCATTGGTCTATACTTCTGCTTTACGCCAGAACAACATTTTTTCTGTTGCTGTGTTTTTGCAGTAAATTTTGAAACCAAAAGTCGAGTCCTCCAACTTTGTTTCTCTTTGTCAAACTTATTTGGACTATTCTGGGTCCCTTGAAATTCCATTTGGAATTTAGAATGTATTTGTCTGTCTCTACAATAAGGGTTTTTAGGACTTGGGTAGTGATGGCATCGAACCTGAGACCACTTTGGGGAGCGGTGCCGTCCGGCAACGTCAAGTCACCCAGCCCGTGAACACAGGACGTCTGCCCGCATATTGACGCCTCTTCATTGTCTTTCTGCAACACCGTGTAGTTACCATGCACACGTCTTCTGTCTCTTTGGTCCAATTTATTTCTAAAGATCTTGTTCTTTTTGGTGCCATCTGACAAGGACGTGTTTTCTTCATTTCCTTTCGGAATGTTGTCGTCAGGGTGTGGAAACATGGGTGACTTTGGCATGTCGATCTGTGTCCTGCCGCCTTCCTGAATCAGCGCTGACGGTCGTTTGCTTTGTTGGCCCTTTAGAGTTTCCTACACGCAAGGCCGTGTTGTTGTGAACACAGGGGACCTTGGTTCTTCCTGCCCAGGTTCTCTGCCATTATTTCTTTTTCTTGTCTAATTGCTCTGGCCAGCGGTCGCAATAGGACGTGCAAGAGAAGTCGCTGCAGCCCGTCCTGGGCTCCTGATCCTGGAGGACAGCTCTCTCCCTCTCCTCTGCCTGACAGGGCGGCAGCTGTGGGCTCACTCATGGCCTTCACTACGTTGAGGAGGTCTCCTTGCAGCCCAAGTTCAAGTGTTTTCTACCCCCGCCGAGATGACTGTGGGGTGTGTGACCGTGATGTCCGTACGTGGAGTCATCCTGGCAGCCCCTCTCCCGTCAGGGACCCTCCCCCAGTGGCCTCTGATGAAGGTGCGAGGCTCACCTCTGCCTTCAGTTCAGCCCCTTGATGTGCCGTCGGCTCACTCTGGATGGCGTGGCGGGTCCTGGTGAGCATCCGGTCACACGGCCCTCTGAGGATAAAGGTGCGGGCAGCATGTTCAAGTTTTATCACTTCCAAAGAAATGACAGTCATTTTGAATGCAGTGGCGCTGAGACTGGAACCCACCTCCACCTAACTCCGAGTCGACCATCTCTGTCCCTTTCCAGGGGCTGTCACACCTGCGTGGCTATTTCTCTCCATAGCTCCTGAATTACAGCGCGAGGACAGGGCAGCTCTCGGTGCAACCAGCAAGGGCGGTTTCTCCTGCAGCCCTGGCCCAGGTCCCTGTTTCTCCAGCTGAGCCTCAGATGAGGGGGGCAGCTTGCACATGAGGGCCCCATTGCAGCAAAGACGTGGATCTCTACGTGCTACAGACGGGCTCAGCACAGCACCCTCACCGGGGGACCTGCAGAGCCTGAGACGGACCAGCGATGAGCAGGTTCCTTTCTGCATCTCCCACGTTGCTACCGAGTCGCCCCAGCTTCCCTCGGATGGACCCGACTCTGTCGCGATCAGAGGCACCTGCGCAACCACCGCCTTCCCCCCGGGGTGACCTCCGCCACCCACAGGAGCTGGGGGAGGCCAGGCCGCCCCCCGCAGCGGGCCCCCCAGCCTCTTGCAGTCACCGCAAACGGCCCCATCCCCGATCCCCATTTCTGCTTTTTGATGCTTCAGAGCGCAATTACGTTCAGAGGCCTTAATTAGGCTCACTCCGCTCAACAGCCTGTGGTTTGAGTTTTCTTTCCAGGACTGATCACAGCCTGTCTGAGCGCACCACAGTCCGCTGGAATTCGGGACTTCTCTTGCTGGCTGAAAGAGAACTGGGACAGACGGTGAACCCCCCGGACGCGGGCCACTGGAAGGTCTGTTCTAGTCACTGCCAAGATGCAAATCCACACGGCGGAAGGAACCTTGGGACGCGTTGCTCTGCTCCCCCAGAGACTGAGCGCAGAGGCCCCGAAGCAAATCTGCTTCCCCGCGTGAAACGTGCCTTCAAAGGACGCCCATCCACAGCACGACTGTCCCCGAAGGAGTGCGGGGGCGAATGCGGACGACCCCGCAGCCGGGGCAGAAGCACAGAAACCGCGGAGGGCAAGTGCCGTAAGCGCTGCGTATTTCCACAGAAACAGCCCAAAATCTACCGAGGAAAGGACGCCGAGTATCTAGTAACAGCTCAGGTTTAATGTGAGTGGACTCTCGGCCGCTTGTTCCCGGCGCTGTTTGAAAAGCCCACAGGGTAACAGTGAAGGCCTTTAATCTCCTTCGGCTTCGAATTGGTTTTCCTGGTGGACTGACGGCTCGGGAACAACGGGGACGGGAAGCAACGTAGCCAAAGCCAGGACGGCCAGCGAGGGGGGCAAAGGGAAGCAGAGTCCGGCTGCACTTGTCCTGGGAGCCCACCCACCCCAGGCACGGACCCGGGCCCCCGTTCTCCTCCAGAACCGCCCGTTCCTGCAGCTCTTCCACACCTCTAGCCCTTCGCTCTCAGCCCCTGTTCCAGACACAGGGAGCAGCTGTTTCTGGGGAGACTGCTGAGGAAGGTGTCCTCAGCCGGAGGGCAGCCCGGTCCCCCGCTCTGCTCACAGCCTCCTTGCCCTCCCTGAGCGCAGGTTCCCAGGGGCTCCCTGCGAACATCTACTGGGCGGTGCCCTGTGGTCTGTAATCAGACTTCAGGACCAGGAAAACCAGAGCTCTCCCGGACACAATCAAGGACGCTCGCTCAGCAGAGGGACCGGGACAGGCCCCACTGTTTTCATCAGCGTCTCCTCCTGGGACAGGATTCTGGATCCCAACCCCGCCCCACTCAGGCGAGCCCGTGACCTTGCTGTGGCCAAATACGTGTGGGAGCGAGTTACGTGCGCCACTTCGACCAGAAGCTTTCAGAGGCCCTCCCCCCTCCACTTCTCTCTCTCCTCCTTCCCTCCCCCTCCACTTCTCTCCCTCCTTCCTCCCTCCTCCCTCTCTCTCCTCCTTCCCTCCCCCTCCACTTCTCTCCCTCCCTCTCTCTCTCCTCCTTCCCTCCCCCCTCCACTTCTCTCCCTCCTTCCTCCGTCTCTCTCCTCCTTCCCTCCCCCCTCTACTCTCTCCCTCCTTCTCTGTCTCTCTCTCTCCTCCTTCCCTCCCTCCTCTTGCCAGTCCTCTGGTTGGTGGCATCTTACCTGGGCCACTGGAGGGCAGCTTATGGGCAAGAGGCAGAGGGGAAAGGCCTTCGAGGGGAGAGAAAACAGCACTGGGGTGTGTTAAAGGGGGCCTGAATTGGTAGTGGGGGGGGGAGGGGGAGGTAGGAGAAGGAGGAAGAAGAGGAGGGAGGAGCGGAAGAGGGAAGGAAGGGGAAGGAGTAGGAGAAGTAAGAGGAGAAGGAGGGAGGAGGAGGGAAGGAAGGAGGAAGGGGGAGGAGGACTGCCCACCTAACGTCACGACTTACTAGGATGCTACAGCACTCACGCAGTGTGGAGCCACATACATCAATAGAACAGAAGAGAACCCAGCAATAGACCCACATGAATACAGTCAACCAATCTCTGATGCAGGGAAAAAAAGCAAACAATGGAGCAAAGACAGTGTTTTCAACAATGGTGTTGGAACAACTGGACATCCTAAGAAAAACAAACTGAATCCAGACACAGAATTAACTCAAGATGGCTCATAGACCTAAAATTCAAAACTTTTTGGAGGATAACTCAGGAGAAAACCCAGGTGACCTTGGGCAAGGTGACAACATTTCAGCTGTGACACCAAAGACATGACCCATGCAGGGAATAATTGATAAGCTGGACTTGATTAAGTTTTTAAATTTTTGTTCTGTGAAGGACATTGTCAAGTGATTTTTAAAAAGTGGCTTGTCTTCTCAAAGATTTTATTTATTTATTTGAAAGAGAGAGGGGGTGTGTATGCGAGCAGGGGGAGGGGCAGAGGGAGAGGGAGACAGAATCCCAAGCAGACTCCTTGCTAAGCACGGAGCCTGACTGGGGGTTCCATCTCACAACCCTGAGATCATGACCTGACCAAAATCAAAAGTGGGACTCTTGGCCAACTGAGCCACTCAGTGTCCCAACAAGCCACTTCTGATATAGGATTTTGTTATCCAAAATATACAAAGAATTCCTCAAACTCAACAATAAACAACCCAATTAAAAAATTGGCCAGTGACCTGAAGAGACCCCTCACCAAAGTAGACTGATGGCAAATAAGCATAAAAAAATGCTCCACATTATAGGTCAGAGAAATGCAAAGTGAAACAACAAGGTATCGCTGCACACCTACAGAATGGCCAAGTCCAAAAAGTCCAGAACACTAATAACACCAACTGCTGGAGAGGACAGGGAGCATCCAGAACTCTCACTCACTCAAGGCTGGTGAGAACGCAAAATGGCCACAACCACTCTGGAAGACAGTTTGGTGGTTTCTTTCTTTCAAGATTTATTTATTTTTAGAGACAGAAAGTGAGAATACCCACACAAGCAAGATGAGGGGCAGAGGGAGAGAGAGAATCTCAAGGAGACTCCCTGCTGAGTGCAGAGCCCAACACGGGGCTCGATTTCATGATCCTGAGATCATGACCTGAGCTGAAATCAAGAGTCAGACCCTTAACCAACCGTGCGACCCAGATGGCCCCACCCAGTTTGATGGTTTCTTAAAAAACTCAACATAGT